CCCAGCTACTTGGGAGGCTGAGGCAAGAGAATCTCTTAAGCCCAAGAGTCTGAAGTTACTGTGTGCTGTGACACCATGGTATTCTACCGAGGGCAACAAAGTGAAACTCTGTGCCCCCCCCCCCCAAAAAGCAACTCCTCAATGTTTTTCCATTGCCCTTAGGACAGTGGTTCTCAACCTGTGGGTTGCGACCCATAGAAACTGTATTAAAGGGTTGTGGCATTAGGAAGGATGAGAACCACTGCCTTAGGATAAAGTCTGACTCTTTAGCCTGGCATTCAAGGCCTTTTATAATCTGATGCCTCAGCATCACTTTCCTGTACAAACATACACATAGGCCTCATAGGCAGGCTATAGTGAAATGTTGCACATGTAGTCCCCCAGCAACCTGGTGAATACCTTATCCCAACCCATCTCAGGTCTCCCCATGACGTTTGGTCTTCTACCTACACCCTTTGTTCTGCCCACAAGCTGTCTAGTACCCAGTCTTTATCATAGCACTTGAACGCTTTATTGCCCTAAATGGGACCAGGGTGTTTTTGGAACATAGGGCAGGTAGAAGCCAAACATCACAGTTGTACCACTGTGCTATAATTTATTGTAGGTGCTTTAGGAGAAAAAAATAAGAAGGTGGGAAAAACATGAAGAAGTGGGCAAGGACTCTAGTGGTGCAAAGAGCCATAGTTGCAGAGCTGAATGCCCTATACCACCCAGCTCTGGATGAAGGTAGTAGCTCTTGGAGAGAGATCCTAGGACCTGCGGCCCAACAAGCTTGCTGGGCCTGCAAAGGGCTGGGGAGGGGTTGGTTGTCCTTGCTGATTAAGGGACAGGCTGTGAGGACTGTGGGGAGGAGAGGCCATGGGAGGAAACAGGGCAGTTCTTTGTCCCTGTGTCCCTGAGGCTGCCTCCCAAAGACATACTCCCCTTCTTCCCCCATTGCCCTCAGGGAGAAAGCTCAGTGGGAATGGCACCTGGGATATAGAAGAGAGAACCTGAAAGACTGGGGGTAGGGGTCAGCAAGTGTCTTCATGGTCTTCCACTTCCCTTCCTCCATCCTCCTTAGTTCCAGATTTTGAGGAAGCTGTCCCAGGAACCAGTAGCCACAGCCATCCCATCAGCTGTGACCCCCAGACAGCTGACTCTGTTGTCATGGCCAGAGAGGATGCCTGAGGAAGAGGGAAAGGAATCAATCTCCCCCCTGCTGATTTGGAAAGCTGCGGAAGCACATGGTGTATGCACAAGTGTACACCTAGGTGTGTCTGTGTACGTGCTGGAGTCTAGATCAGAATTGAATAAGCTGAGCGACTAAAAGAGGATTAGCCTTAAGGACTGGCCAATTTGTCAAGAACTTGGGTTGGAGGCAGGGCAGGGGAAGATTGGGAAAGGTTGGAATCACCTGTGTGCTATGGAAAACGCCAGGGGCAGGCCAGATACAGTCGGTGGCTCCCACCTGTAATCCCAGCACTCTGAAAGACTGAGGCAGGTGGATTGCCTGGGCTCACAGGTTCAAGACCAGCCTGAGCCAAAGCAAGACCTCGTCTCTAAAAATAGCTAGGCATTGTGGTGAGTGCCTGTAGTCCCAGCTACCTGGGAGGCTCAGGCAAGAGGACCACTTGAGCCCAAGAGTTTGAGGTTGCTGTGAGCTATAACACCACAGTATTCTACCAACGGTTACAAAAGTGAGACTTTGTCTCAAAAAAAAAAAAAAAAAAAAAGCCAGGGGCACCTTGATGGATGCTGGAAAATAGGAAAACAACCTATTCGTCCTATTCTTTTGTTCCCAGATGATGAGGTTACTGGGGCCAGGGAGCAGTAACTCATGCAAGGGAACTCTAAGAGAGCAACAGAATTAGGATTTGGATCCTAATTCTGGCCACTGTTAGTTTCATTCAACACTTGGCCTCTCCTCAGAGAAGAAGCCACACTATCTGATCAACTTTAGACTAGACTGGTCCCAGATGAGCTTCTAGGCTGGGCCAGGGTCCCCAGGCCACTCATTTCTTTGATTGTGCCCCCTGGGGATAACCAGGGGAGCTCCTTGGGCAGGGAGTAGCCATGGCATTAGGCTGTAAAGAGGGGTTGCTTAGAGCAACTTTCCTTCAAGGGAAGATGTCCTAGGTTGGGAACCAAGGGGTCCTACATTCCAGGAATGGAGTGATCCAATGGTGGGAATAGCAGCAGGATGATCCCAACCAAGAGAGCTGGCAGAAGGGTATAGAGTGGGAGGGAAGGCTGGGGAGGGTCCTTCCAGCTGAGGAAGCAGTAGGCAGGGCTGGCCCTTACCCACACGCTCGCACTTCATGGAGTCCCAGACATTGCAGTTGAAGTCATCGTAGCCAGCAAAGAGCAGACGGCCACTGAGAGAGAAGGCCACAGATGTGATTCCACAGATGATGCTCTCATGGGAATAGGCAGTCAGCTCCTGATCAGCCCGCAGGTCAAACAAGCGGCAGGAAGCATCATCTGAGCCCGTGCAGATGGCCTCTCCATTGGGAAAGAACTAAGGGCACAGGTGGCAAGGAGTCAGACCTGCACCCACCTACAGAGTCCCAGCCCTCTCCCTAGCTCCCATCTGCCAGCTCCGGGGCAAGCTGCTTCTCAGCCTTCCTGACCATTCCTTCCTTGACTTGGGTGAGAAGCAACATCCCAGCATGGCTAGTCACTACTGCCATGCACCACTTGCCAGCGCCATGCCTATAGCTTCCCTACACCCCTGGCTTACTCCTCAACTACCTGCTGTAGTCAGGTATCACCTCCATGTTGCAGTCAAGAGCACCAAGCCTTGCCCAGGGTCACCTAGCTAGAAGGGCAGAAGCTGTCCCACACTCCTACGACTATGCAAGTGGGCTGGATTAGGATGAGCAAGAACAGAGCCAGTTACAAATGCATGACCTGCATCTCATCATGAGGAAATGTCAGATCAGCTCAAATGGAGGGAGAGTGTATAGAAAACCGACTCTTACACTTCATCAATGTCAGTGTCGTGAAAGACAAAGGTAGAAAAACAGTCCCAGTTTAAAGGAGACTAAAAAGATATGGCAAAGAAATGCAATGTTCATTTCTGGATTGGATCCTGAACAGAAAAAGAAAAAAACAAAAATGTTGCTATTAAGGGCATTTTTGTAGATAATTGGTGAAATGTGAATATAGACTATTGACTGTAGTATTGTGTCAGCGTTAAATTTCCTGATTTTAAGAATTATTTCATGGCTATATTAGAGAAAGGCTTTATTTTTAGGAGCTATCTAAGGGGAAAAGAAACATGATGTGTGCAACTTAGTCTCAAAAGACCAGAAGAAAAATAATAAAATACTAAATATCTACATCTAAGTGTGTGTTTATCTTTCATTCTGGTTCTCTACAAAGAAAATGCTAAAGCAAATGTGGTTAAATTAACAGTGGATCTGGAAGGATATATGTGGGGTTTTTTCTGTTAGTTTTGGAACTCTTCAGTAAAATGAAAAGTTAAAAATAGGAAGGGCAAGGGAAGCTACGGGAGGGGCTGGGGATGTGCGTGTATGTACTGTGGGGGTGAGGAGGCCCTGTGCTCACACAAATGGCGTTGATGTCCGACTCATGGCCAGTGAAAGTCTGACGGCAGGTCCCCTCACGCACATCCCAGAGCTTAGCACTGGCATCGCAGGCCCCCGAAATGAAAAGTTTGAAGTCAGGAGATACAGCCAGGCTCATGCAGTCACCAGTGTGTCCCACAAACACAGTCTTCTGCTGCCCAGTCTCAATGTCCCACAAGGCACTGCCA